TCTGCCTGTCCCATAAACATGCCTAACAAGGACAAACAAGAGAGCTTTGAGCAAGTGAAGTTGGTGCAGTGTAGAAGATCATATGAATGCACTTTGTCATTTGCTGGGTATCTCGATCTCATGATGAACAGTGTAAACAGAAACTTGCACTTAGTCAATATCTTTATGGAAACTTGCACTTAGTCAATATCTTTATATCGACATTCATAGCTCAATATTTGCTACCTGACATTATTCAAAATGGCAAATGTGCTTCAGGGACTTTTCAACATTGCTGTTTTCATATATTCCAAACTGATGCATAAATGCCCCCAACCCCCCATATCTCTTTCATCAAATAAAACCTTTTCTCATCTTCCAAAACCAAATAATCGGTGCTCCAGTCCACATTCAGTGTACTCTTAATGTATGTCAATAACTGTTAATGTTCAATACTATTTCTCTTAAGGGATTTTAGACAAAGAGAAAGACATCTAAGACAAAGTTATATATAAATATACATGTATATATAGTAAAGATGTACAATGTTGCAAAAACAATCTATTTCAAATAAATGCTTTCTTTTTATTGGGATCAAAAAAGAAAAGTAAATTGAATTCCTTTTTGAAAGCTGTTCTTAAAATGCGTATAAAATTATGTCCGTTCTTATATTTAGCAGAGGGGCCGGTGAGATGAAGACATTGATGGCTGATGTAACAACATGCAGTAGGGAATTTCACTTTTGACCTTTACAGGGCTCAAAGTTTGTTCTGACTGCTGAATATTAAAATTCAATGAACACCCCTCGTTTAGTTTGGCTTTTCAGTTTGATCTGCCAACCCTGTCTGTTGTTAAAGCGCAGGCTAGTTTTTCTTTGCCCGGAAAGCATGTTTAATAAAGAAGAGATCAGCAAAACTTCTTATGCAGGTGTCTGCAGTGCAAGAGCTTTTTAAACCAGGTCAGAGCAGCACTGCGGAGAAACTAGAGGAGGAAAACTGGCACAACTCCATTTAATTGATGGATAGATGGATCCATCTATCCATCTATCCATCCATCCATCCATCCATCCATCCATCCATCCATCCATCCAAGCTGTTGAGAGAGACGGCTCTAGTAGTTTATTGTGGGCAGCCACGACTTCAGTTTCAAAAGTCTCCGTTTGGGTCCGTTTACACTGAAACGCAACCCTGGAGTTTCCAAACTAAAACGGTGTCTGCAGCGTTTCCAAAAGTCTCCGTTTCCGAGGGTCGAAAACTCTGGAGTTAAACCTTTTTAAAACGAAAACGCACTAGTGTAAACAGGACCTTAGCAACACCCTAAGAACATCATAGCGATCACTCAGAACTCCATAGCAACCACCTAGCAACTGTCTTGCAACCACTTGGAACACTTCAGAAAAAATGTCTAGCAAAGCTTACAGTTTTTCTCAGTCGCTTTGGTCCATTTCTCAGATCAGAATTGAAATTCTCAAAACTACCTGTTCAATCTTCACATCATTGTGTCACTTGTGCACATCAAAAAAGTAGTTCCTCATTTCTTTGAACAAGTTGCAAATGCTTTGGTACATCCATGCAAATGATTACATACAATTCTCTGCTGTTTCCTACATTATCAATTGCTTATGTCATGTTGATCAAAATCTATTATAATGGGTCTCTGTTGAATTGTCTCAGCCCCCACAACATTTGGGCATTAGTTCATAGCATTGGTTTTCAATCACCAGTTTTTTTCTTTGTGCTTTGCAGTGCTGTCTTTTCCTTTCTGTATTGCAATAACATGGTTTGTCAACAAATAACATTACAAACGGTAAAAGCGTAAATATGAATCTTGTCCAGTCTCTTGAAATCAAACTCCCACATACACTAAGGTGTGTAACCTACAATTTACAATAATTGTCATCAAAACTTTATGCATAGTTTACATCAGAACATCCCTCCAGGGTACACTGTTATTGACAACATGACTAAGCAATTTGACTGTCTTATCCGTACACAATGACACAAGGACTTGTCATTCTGATGGCACTGGCATGTTCATTGACACAGATATTTACTTTTGAGAGATGAACTAAGGATTTTGAGCAAGAGAATGGCTTTTGCAGGTAATCCATGGTGTTTTGCTATTTGTACAAATTGTTTTGAGAAATGCACTTACTGTTTTGCAAATGTTGAGGATGATTCGAGAAATGTACCAAAGCGACTGAGAAAAACTGTGAGTAACCATCTAGAACACCCTAGCATCTTCCTAGCAACACTCTAGAAAATAATCACAACATATCAATGGCATCTCTTTAATGTCCTGATTGTATTACCTTCCGACTTCAAGCTTTTAAAACTTTCATACCAGGCTTTGACAAGCATTACAATTTTACCTTGACAAACTTTTCTTTTTCTAGTTAAAATGAGTAATCTCATGTGAAATTCAGACTGTATATAATTAATCTAAAAGAGTCAAGCATTGTGTCATCATAGTGTGTGTATACTTGTGTGTGCATTTTCTTGAATTGCATTTTCTTCCCGACCTCCTCCAGTGTTGATCACTCATTGTTTGACCCTCACTTCATCTAGAGGGAAATAGTTTTTTGCTCCATCATAAATCATCAAAAGAGTTACTGGAGTGGAACACTGGAAGATGAATGTTTTCACTGTGTTTGTGTTTCATCATCTTTATATAAAAAGGGCACCATCACTTCTGTGAGTGTGGCGGGGTAAGAACTGTGCGTAACAAGATGGAGTCGACTGAGGGCTGTTTCAGTCCAAAACAATGAGCATTACTGTACCTCACATCTGTTCTGATAAAGGAACCTGTGTTTTAAAGACACTAACTTTGATTTAGGATTCAGGATCCTATTCAGATTAACTTGTATTGAACAATGTGTGATGATAAATGATTTTGGAGCAGTGTGATATGAGGGGTCACTGTACGACAGAATTTTAAAGCCAGGGGATTCCTTGGGAACTTGACCTCAATAGGAATCTATTCACGGAATTCATCATCAGATCGTCTCTAGGCACATGATTAATCCGGTAAATCCCTATGGAAATAATACTAAAATTATATTACACTCTTGATGTTCTGATCCCTGTCACGATTTAGCTCAATTACAAAAACTAGATCGTGTGACAAAACTAAACTGATTTACCGTTTTTAAAAAAAAGAGCTTATACTCTAAAAGTGGTACTTGAGGCCCACTTAGCGAAACCATTCACTCATATCTATTTTTTAGACCAAGTCTGCAAAACTGCAAGTACATAATCTGCTTTACACTCAGTTTGAAATTTTGTGAAACAAACTTTTTTTCAAAACTCTAAACACAGTTCTAGACACATAATTCAAGACTAACAGCTCTCGTGTTTCATTTGGAAACCACTGTAATTTATTAAATGGCACACTCGTTTACCGATTATCTACACCCAGCGATCATGTGCGAAAACATTTGTACCTATTTGTTCACTTAAAAAAATCAATAAATCAATAATTTATTTTTACCCAATTGCATTGCTGTTTATATTGTAAATATACATAATTTAAACACTTAGAAATCAAAACTCAAATGTTTTGAGAGACAAATAAAATGTTCACTCTTGCATTTCTGTTTATTTTGTAAATACATACTGAATATGCATACAAGTCAAGTCACCTTTATGTAGCACTTTACACAATACAGATTGTTTCAAAGCAGCTTCACAATAGTAAGAAATTCAAATTCTGCTGCAAAGCAGGACTAACAAGTGTCATTATACAGGTCCAGTCAGTTGTGTTGATTCAGTTCAGTTCAATTGTTCAATTAGTTCAACTGTAAAGTTTATCAACTGTGCATACTGTAAATATAGTTTATAATTTCTGCAAATACATGTACACTTATAAGTTATATGATCAATGAGTTATGACAAAAAATGTTTTTACATTGCTCATCAAAATAGGTTTAGCAATTTTCAACTTTATGTTATACAATATTCAACAATTTTATTTACGTCAGTTTAATGTAATTAAAGTTTAAATTTCTAATTATTTAAACATCCAAGTTGATTGTACTTAAAAATGAAAGGCAGCAACTTTAGTGTACCTGTGAGTGATATGACAAACCCCTGTACACTCGACTGCACACTGAACAAACAAAAGACATAAGATAGTAGTGTCTTACATTTACACATCCGTGCGTAGTTTGGCGTGTATACGTGACTAATCATTTAATGGTTTGTGTGTAGAGTTACAAAAATAGCATTTTTAGAAGAGTTAAAATAGTTTTGAATGAAGTGTTTGCTTTTGCATGAGATGTGTGACGTTTTGCATCTTGTGTGCGTGTTTTGTGGTTTTGCATGTAGAGCCAGTTTCAGAAATTGGGTGTAAGCAATTTTAAAAAAAAACTGTAAGGGAAATTCAAGACCATTAGACCATATTAAACACTGTGCAATATAGAAATTTAATTGATGCAAATTATTTTACATAAACAGACTATGCTTTTGTTAATGACAAATTATAAAATGATGGCAAACATTTAACACATAGGCCTACATAAATGAGGAAAACGGGGGCTATCTTTCTCCTGGTGGCTTTATTTTATAAATCACATTATAGACACAAGTCTAAAAGGCTTGATAAAACAAACAAACAAATAAACTATTAGACAGCATCATTGTTGCCCAGGAAAAAAAGATATAGCCTATTTCATTGAACACACACTGACCATTTTCACAATGGAATCATTTTTGATCAATGATTGAACGATATTAATCGATTTTTATTTAAACAATAAAACGATTATGAAACAAATTACATTTTTTTAGAAAAACAAATATGTTAGACTTTTAGTTTGGAAGACATAATTGGCAAAAAAATATGAACCAATTTTCTAATAAACTCATATGGTTTTTAACTATGAGTCTGAAACCAATAGCCTATACAAAAGAGAAAACTCTACATTTGACTATTATACGGATCTCAGAACAGGCAGTGATGTTTAAGCGCACACGACCAAAGCAAAGCAACAACGCACGAGTGTATTCCAGCCCGGTCTGAAGTTATCGGAGGACAGAAAGGCGCCGAAGCTGCTGCTTGGATCCTGCATTCATTAATTCAGTGAAGTCTCGCGGTGTTCACACAACCTCTCAGACATCTTGCGTTTGTCAGGCGAACTGCTACATGCACGAACAGAAACGCATTAAAATATCATCCAGCATCGCTCGAACGCCATCACCTCTTCACATGCGGGGCTGAACTGAGTTTGCGCGTTTGAGACACTCGGAGAGGATCGCGTGCGGCGTTATTTTCGTATTGTGCGTCATTTCTGCATTTCTGCGTTTCCACCCAGGCAATATGGCAACACCCGCCGCTGTAAACCCATCGGGTGAGTAGCAATTTTATCGTTGTGCTTTTAAATATATTGTGTGTGGCGTTTAAAGGGAAACCGAACGTCGGGGGTTTACCCAATATTGTGTTTTCGCCTTAACAAAAGAAACCGCGACGGTTTAAACGCACGCGAGCACCCCCTCCCCCCTGCACAAGTAACAACAGCGACATTTAGAATAAACATTTAAATGCTACTGTATCACGGCTATATCGTTATTATAACGTTCATTCTTTCGTGACTGTAGAACGTCGCGCGACTGTATTGTGACGTCAGAACGAAATGTATCACATTTGGTGTTATTCTGCCGTGGCTTGTTGCTAATGCAAATTAGATGCTGAATAAATTTTCTCAAGCCAGTACGTGATTTGATTTCCTTGATACGCTGCTAGTGAATCTGATACGTTGCTAATGGGACTGTAATGGTGATGTGAGGTTATTTGTTATGAGCTTGAGTATGTAACACGCATAACATCTTTACTTCCTCAGCCTGTTGATTCCGTATAGCCTGTTAATCAAAATATTCAAGTTTATTGTCATGACAGATTAGAGATTAGTAGCTATAGCAAGTGAGATTTTTGATGTTTCTGTGAAACACTTAAAAAGTCAACTACAAATAGCAATAAAACAGGAGCAAGAATAGGCTATGAGACAAAACGGTAAAGTGACAGTGCGAGATGTAAACACGAGCACTGGATTGTTGTGCAAGACTGTCCTGAGCTAATGTAAGTTTACATGAATGTGTGACATTTTTACTTTGTCACTGAATATTTAATGGTGCTAGAGTTGAAACTTTTGTGCCACCAGAGTCACGATTATGTGGGCATTTGTGGTCTATTATGACACCACAGGTTTGTTGACTCAGAACATCAAGCTGGATGAAAAGATGTAGAAGGCCAAATTATTAAATAAGCAGGGCTGCACAGATATAGAAATGTTGCTTCAAGTGACTTCAGGCATCAAATTTTAATCCTTGAGGAGGAAAAAAAAACACCTCAGTTGTATTCAGAGGCCCAAACTGAGCAAAAATATGCAATTGGTGCAGATGTTGTTATTTATATGGCCAAACAGATGAAATGCTAATACCTTGTAATGTAACTATCAGAATTCTTATAACAGACAGCATCCACAATATGCATATAGCCTACATATCAGTTGTCACTCTATATCTCCCAAGAATATAATATTTTTAAATGCTTAGTTTTATGATCAAGGTTCTGTAGTTTTTATTGTGTGGGGGGTGTGGGGGGCAAAACATATAATGCAATTCAGTGCAATTATGATTGAGAGATGTACATTCCTCAAAAGCCTGATGTATCATATGTGATACTCATTTTAACAATTATCAAAAAAGGATAGATACTCGAGTTAATCAAACTTCAATCCAGTAATTGTTCATCTTGAAATATTTTTAGCTGTATAAAAATGTATTTAATGTTTACTTTATAATAATCAAAGATTTAATAGCAAAAAGACATTTTCACAATTAAAAGGGATTTTACTTGCTAAAAACTGTCAATCAAGCGACTGAATGCATGTAGTAGTCATGTTGATAATTTAGAGGCACTAATAGTTCATATAAAAAATATTTTTTACATACAAAAATTAGTATTTTTTACATATCAAAATTGTCTGAATTGGAAAAAAAATAAGCAATATTATCTCTTGCCTGATAAAAAAAACCTCCTACATCTAGTAAACTTTATGCAACAAACATGCCGTACAAAGCAAACAAACTGGGTTAGTGATTGATAGAAGCATGTCACAGAAACCTACTGCTGCTCAATTTATTCAGTCTGCACTTGCTAAAGTAAATTACGCTCCATGACTCCATTGCTTCAATGCACACTCTTTTTCCCCCCAGCGGGCAATTCCTTTCCCGCCACCTCATTGTAAATGCAAATGAGGTGAAATGAATAAAGAATGTGTGCGTTATTAGCACCTGGTTGACTCACAGAGCTGCCAAGCGTGCTTTAAAATGCACGAGAGCATTCTGGGCTGAAGTCACATGACTGTAGTTGAACTCAAGGGCACTTTGTTTTAAAGTCAGCTTGCTTTAATTTCGCTTGGTTAAGAAATATGTAGGCCATCTGTACTTTTACCGTTATGCCCACAATGCTTAACAAAAGGCCCTGGTTGCAGCATGGCTGCGATAAGAACGTGTTTCGTACAAATAGCAGTTGGCGTTTGTCAATGGGGATTACAGGCACAGTTGATTAGCAACAGTTCAGACTGTTTGCCGACCTCTTGTGTTTGTGAAGGAAGCCTTTCTATTGAGAGGAGGGATGGATAACAGGGCTGACCAGAAGTGTAGCATTGCTAAGAAAGACTTGTGTGTTTCTAGAGCATATGGTGGGCTACATCAGCTAGCAAATGCTAATCACCTGTTGACAGGTTATTTTCTTGATAGAAAGGGCTGAGCTTGAATATATGATATGTAATGTGAGACTGTAGAAGTGTCAAGCTGTAGATATTTTTCTGTACCGTTTATATCACATTCAACTGATGTTTGTCAGAGGTGTGTGTACACCACTGTTCAAAAGTTTGGGCTCAGTAAGATTTTTTTTTAAGAAATTCATACTTCTTTTCAGCAAAAATTACTCAAAAGTGACAGTAAAGACATAATGTTACAAAATATGTCTGTTTCAAATAAATGCTGTTTTCAACATTGATATAATAATAAATTTTTCTTGTGTAGCAAATCAGCATATTAGAATGATTTCTGAAGGATCATGTGACTGATGCTGAAAATTCAGCTTAGAAGAAAATTGCATAATAAATATATTCAAACAGAAAACAGTTCACAATATTACTGTTTTACTGTTTTTGATCAAATAAATGCAGCCTTGGTGAGCATAAGACACTTCTTACAAAACATAAAAAATATTTTTTTAAATTCTTACCGACACCAAATGTTTTTAAATGTTATAGTTCTTTAAATGTTATAGTACATATGATGGTATTTTGACCAGCTGAGGGAGAACTCATGAAGAGTTTATAAAATGTGTAAAGGAGTCAAAACAGCGGCAGGAATTCCTTTGTTGCACAAAAACAAAGACCTGCTGCAAGGAGACAGTGTTTCTGACGTCTGTACCGAACTGTAATGGGCAACGTAGCTCGTATGACGAGAAAAAAAAGGTGCTTCCGTATTTTGGTTCATTTAGATGTCTTTAGTCTGTGTTGCGTTCAGTCGAACCGCACCAGAGTTTGTTTGGAAGCGGACCGAGACCCATCTTTTCAGGGGACTCTGTCCGCTTCTTTGTTGCACACCAGGGTTTGGATGACAGCGTTAACACTTAATCAAATGAACCGCACTAACAGAGTAATCGCACCAGAGTTTGTTTTAATTGAACCAAACCTGCCAAGTGTGAACACACCCTAAGACTTTTCTGTAAATGCCTGTCTGTGATGAAAGACAGCAGTACTTTAACTTGCATTTTTATGTGCTGCAAGTCCAGTATAGTTTTTTTAACAGCTTCATTCTTCAATAACAGCCTATTTGTAAAGCTGCATGACATTGTGACAGATTCCTAAAACAACTTGTGCTGAAATATGTGAATATATGAAATATGCTTCTTATATTTCCTCTTCTTTATGTGGGCGAACCAAGTTTCTGATCACCCAGGCATTGTTGACTTATGTTGTTTTTTAATATATATTGATTTACCTAACATCAGAAAGTTGGATTCAGAACTAGTCGGTTTTGCAGCTTAGTTTCAATAAATGCTTTTTCAAAGTTTTTTTGCCCTGAAACTTACATTATGTTTTCATAGTTTATTGAACTCTTTGAAAATTGACATTTTCATTATACAGCCTCTTTAATTCGGTTATGAATGCCGAGTCCATTCTTGCATGAAGCATTAGTAAGTGATTGGAGTTTTGATGTTTTTTTTAAAACTTTTGTCAAGAAATGCAGCATTCATTTCTGTAAACTCTTGAAATTAGAATATAGCTAAAAAATGTTCTGCTGACCATCATGTCTGAAATATCTAGAACTCTTGGCAGCATGAACTTTCTTTGGCTGTGTAACAAAAGACCAGAAGAGAAGAGAAGAGAAGAGTCATTGTTCTTGACATATTCGTGCTTTCAGAAAAAAGGATTTGATCATGTTAATTAAATTATTTGTAGATTCTCCCTTTAAACTTGCTACTTTCTGATCCATTCCTGCTCTGAATCACTGAATTGAGAAACTCTTTTCTGCATGAAATAGGCCAAGTGTCCCTTCAACCTCATCTACACCCTGAAATCATAATGCTTCAGCTGCACTGAATCACCCTTTTCACTCTCGTTTTAGTGCTGGTAGAGAATAGGAACTAAGGGGCCGTTTAGATGAGACAACTTTTTATGCGTTTTGGCCGCTCATTTACACATCAGCGGCATTTTGGTGCACTTCAGAGTGCAAGTTTTTGAAAACGATACCGTTATCATCTCTGTGTAAACTACAAAAACAGGAATCTGTGAAAATGGTGAATGCATGTGTATTACGTGTTCAGTCTATAGGCGTCTATAATCTTTCTTTACAAAGTTACATTGCCAACTCCTGGCCTGGCAGCGCAATACAGCATTTTTTGTCGTTTTCGCGGATCCATGTGAACGGGGATCGTTTTGACAACTTTTGTCATCTGTACAGAGAAAAAAACCTTTCTTTATTTTTGTACATAGTTGTGTAAACATACCCTAAATGTTAAGCTACCAAACCTTCCGAGTTGAAGAGGTTGAATAATTGAGCTATTAGCTATATAAGTTTATATTCAATATTCAGACTTTTATTTAGCTGTAACATTTCTATGTTTAGCTCATATTAAAATAATATACAGGGCTGAAAACTCTGTGTGCTCTGCGACTGGGGACTTTCAAGGACTACAGAGAAAAGGTTTAGATTTGCTATTGTATGTTTTTCAAATAAGCCTCTTTTGCTCACCAAGGCTGCATTTATTTGATAAAAAATAGGGAATAATAGGGAAAACGGTAATATTGTGAAATTTATTCCTGTGAAGGCTAAGATTTTGCAAATGCAAAAGAATTTTCAGCTTCATTACCTCAGTCTTCAGAGACATGTGATCTTTCAGAAATCATTCTAATCTGCTGATTTGCATATGAAACATTTCTTATTTTCAATGTTGAAAACAGCTTAATATTTATGTAGAAACCGTGATACATTTTTCAGGATTCTTTGATGAATAGAAAGTCCAAAAGGACATCATTTATTTTTCTAACGTTACAAGTGTCTTGTCACTTTTGATACATTTAATTCATCCTTGCAGAATAAAAGTTTTAATACTGACCTCAAACATTTGAACAATAGCTCTCCAGCATCTGCTATTGCAACACCAAAATCGACTGAAACTGCCGCAGCGCAGACCCATAATCCAGTGCTGAACCTCAAGTACTGGCACTGATAATCCAGACCTGAATCATTCCTTCAAAGAATCAATTTATCTAAGTTTATCTGTCACAGCATAGATCCGTAAAGATGGCCACGGTCCAAGAGACCATGGTGTTCTGGGAAGGTTTTCTCTACACTTTAATTGAAGAATTTGTTCATTTGGCCTGTTTTTGTCTCGATGGAGTTCACTTCTCACGCAAAACACATATGAGGCGTGCTGTCCACATTTCTAAAGAGCTCAGTCATTACAGGCGGGATCCCAGTTGACGGGTGCCATGTAGATGTTTTGTTTTGGGGCAGATCTGGATGGAAAACGGGCCTCTGACATTAGAATGAATGAGTCAGAGGAGAGAAAAGAGAGAGAGGAGCACGTAAGCTGTTGAGTCGTGATTTAAAATGAGAGACAGCAGCATCCTATCACTGTCGTCTATCCTTCACTCCATCCCATGAGACAGATGAGTTTGACCTGAAGGCTTTCTAAGAGACAATGACTGGATGAGGGACCTTTAGAAAGTTCTGGAAAGCAGTAAGGCTTCTACAATGGAGATATTTTGAAGAAGGATCACACAGCTTTTGCTATGTTGCAAACATTTGCATATGTTACAATAGTTAAATATCATTGTTGATACATCAGGCTTTTTTGGCTCATGTCATGTAGTATAGTGAAAATATAGAGCTCATACTCGAGGAGGAGAAAAACCCTACTTTTTTTTTATTCAGAGATCCAAACTGTGCAAAAATATGTGATTTGGTGCACTTTCCGATATTTATGTGGCCAAAAAGTGAGATGCAATTCTGATAGCTTGTAATGTAAATCAATTAGATCTTTATAACAGTATAACATACTTGTATAAAATGCATACAATTAAATTTGTAACTTTATATCACTCAATGATATAATATTTAAATGGTTATTTTTATGATCAAAGCTTTGTAGTCTTTAGTGTGAGGGGCAAAACATAATGCAATGCAATACAATGATGATTGAGAGATGGAAAAAATAAACATTCCTCAAAACTCTGATGTATCATATTTGATACTCACTCACATGATACTCAAGTTTCTTCAGTCTAGTAAATGTTCATCTTTTTGTGTTCTTCAAGTTATTTGTACATTTACTTCAAAAAAATCAGTAAAGATTTCACAGCAACAAGACGTGTAGTCTACCACAACCTTAAAGGCAATGTTTTTACAATTATACTAAAAGGCCTTAAAAAATGATACCGTAGGCTTTATTAGGGTTCCATTTAGGGGTGTAACGATACCCTCATGTCACGATTCGATACATATCACGATACTGAACTCACGATACGATATTATTGCAATACTCCAAGACATATGGTTAAAGGTTAACAAATAAATGTACTGTTGATTAAAATGCTAAATTTGATATTACATTGGGGTGTAAATGAATAGGCTTGGACTTGGTGCTGATAACCCAATGCACAGGACAAAAGTGACACCAGAATGCAAATATTCATGATTCTGAAGCTGAAAATACTGAATTATTTTAGACAAATATGCTTGCACCCTGTCACTGACTAGATATATTTAAAATAATGTAGGCTATTTTTTACTGGTAACAAGACATTTGGCATTATCAGGACCCACAAAATATTCCCCCATTGCATTATTATACATTATATTCAACATTATATAGTAGTTAAATGTTGTACTGACGCGCTACAACTTTGTAAACTTGATTTTTTTTCTCACACAGTAATTTTCATTTTGGGGGAACTATACACAATGCATATTGTCACTATCCCTGATACATATTGTTGCATTTTTATATTGTGACACGATATATTGTTACACCCCTAGTTCCATTACATCATTAAAGTAGTCAAAAATAGTTCTAGTATTATAGTTCAAGTCTTTTGAAGTCTTTCAATTGCTCATTATTCGCTGAAAAGTTACACTGCTGCAACTTCAATTTTGGTCTTTTCATTTCAAAGCTTTCATATGTCTTCAGAAGACATTTGTGCACAAGTAGACTAGGTTTATGATAGCCTACTTGTTTTATGCTCAGATAAAGGTTCTGTATCATTTACTGATAAACAAAAGTCTTGTTATGGGGCTAATTTAATTCAAGGGTTAGTTCACCCAAAAATTTAAATTCTGTCATTTATGCTGCGTTCACGTGCTATCGTAAAATTTCTACTTCCCACTTCTGAAGTCGTGATTACGAGCTCATCAAATTAAACTTTTGACTTGAGTTCACGTTAAATGTTTTAACTAGGAAACTAGTATTTATGATAATTCCGATAGCACTTGAAGGCATCATTATTACTCACCCTTATGTCGTTCCACACCCGCATCTTCTGAAAACAAATAAAGGAAATCTGAGAGCTTTCTGTCCCTCCATTGACAGCTATGGCAACTGAAACTCTGACGCTTCAAAAAGTTCATAAAGAGATCGTAAAACGAATCCATATGAATTAAGCGGTTTAGACAAGTTTTTCTGAAGACATGATTGCATTTAGGCTTTTATTCACATATAAACATTGATCAACGAAAACATAAACAGAAGCTCAACCGAAAAAGCTTGACGTTCAAATCAAACCTTTTGCCGAAGCTCAAACGTGCTGAGTAACACACGAGAATGAACCTCATTGGTTCTCGCACGTCAAGCGAACATGTTTGAGCTTCTGTTTACCACAACTGATGTGAGAGTTGATGAATGATTAAATGTGAATAAAAGCCTAAAGTATATCTGTTCATCATATAAAGCGATCAAGTCTCTTCAGAAAATTGAGTAAACTGCTCAATTTTATGATCTCTTTATGAACTTTTTGAAGCTTCAGACTTTGTTGCAGAGCTGTCAATGGAGGGACAGAAAGCTCTCGAATTTCATCAAAAAGATCTTCATTTGTGTTCTGAAGATGAACAAAAGTCTTATGGGTTTGGAACGACATGTGGGTGAGTAGTGACAGAATTTAAATTTTTGGGTGAACTAACCGTTTAACAGTGTTTTTTCACATATTTGCATAATATTTTAACATTTAATTTAACGTTTGGCAACCTTAAATAGTTTTTTGCCCATCTGAATTTGCTCTTTGGATTCATGGTTTCTCTTGTACCTTCATATGAACTAAGGTTTGAAATAAGGTGTAAGTTTGTAAACCTCATAAATGAATTAATGAGAACTCACTGAAAGGCTCTGCTCAGCTAGTACAGGAGAAGTGGAAGGCAGACTTTATCAAATATTAATATGATTCTTAAATCAATGGTGCTGAACGCGTCAGTATGTGTTCATTTTCTTAGTCAACTGCTGTTGGCGATGTTAGTCTGAGCTGGTGTGTGTTACATGATGCTGTTTAATTAATGCATCAGGTATAATGTTTTTTGGTGTATTTGTGGCTTGCTATGTGACCAGAAACACACAAATACAATATTTTGAGCTATTACTTTTATTTAGTAGGGATGCATTAAATGATTCAAACGTGATAGTAAAGACACTTAAAATGTTACAAAAGGTTTCTATTTCAGATAAATGCTATTCTTTCTATTCATTAAAGAATCCTGAATGTTTTATGGTTTTCACAAAAATATTTACCAGCACAAATGTTTTCAACATTGATAATATTAAGAATGTTTCTTGAGAAGCAAATCAGCATATTAGAATTAATTAAATTCACATTTATTTGTATAGCGCTTTTCACAATACACATAGTTTCAGAATGATTTCTGAAGGATCATGTGACACTGAAGACTGGAGTAATGATGCTGAAAAAAATCAGCTTTGCATAACAGGAATAAAATAGATTAAAATAGAAAACAATTCATTTAAATTAATTATATTTCACAATATTAGCTACTAGTTTACTGTGTTTTGCTCAAATAAATGCTCAAAATAAAATACTAAATTACTCTATAAAAATACTCTATTAGAAATAATAGAGACTTTCAAAAACATATAAAAAAATATCTTACCGATCCCAAACTTTTGAGCATGTTTGTACTTTGGCTGGATTGTCTGATGGGACTGACTTCATTTTCATTTAAATTAAGGAAGGAGAGTGGGAACATAAAGTGGGTATGCATAAAAGTTTTAAGTTTGGTCAACTTTAAAAGATTTCTATATCAAATATGCATCTGCATTTATACACCAGCTGAATGTATGTGTAGTCAGTGTTTCACGTTGTTGATTGTGAAGATGTTTTTGACCTTTTCAGAAATGGGCACGGATCTGCCGGGGTCGGTAGCCATGCCAGGCGCTGTGGGTGCGGGCCAGGTCAGGATGGTGGGCACCATGCCAGGGCGAGGAGGCAAGCGGAGATCAACGGGGTGAGTTATTTTGCTAAACAGCGTATTATTTTCATATTTACAGATTATCTGTTTAATATCACAGTTCAAAGTTCAATTTGGTGTTTGGCAAATAAAAAAATATTCTTACAATGTCAGAATTATCCATTTTCAGCTGTGTGGTTTAGTTGTTTGAGGGGAATGGGGGTGGTGGGGAGAGACGAATTCAAATGTGAAAAATATCCCATCATTACAACATAATGTGTAAGAGAGAGAGAGAGAGAGAGAGATAAATAATTGTGTCATCCATTTACACACATTCTGAATTTCGACTATTAGACTGTTATTATTATTATTACTGAATGAATAAATTATGAAATGATTTTTCATTCAGACATTCAGTTTCCCTAAGGGAATGAAACTCCTTTATATATACATTTTTTTTTTAAATCTATGTTTATAATTTCTATGTACGTAATTTCTCATTGAATAAAATAAAATGTGTAATGCAAGCTGCACGTTGAAGCTCACATTACACACTTTAGCTGCATACATTTTTTTGAATATTTTATTAGCATAAAATTGCTCATACTTTTTAGAATATTAACCAATTTTATACTGCATTTCATTTTATTTACATGAGTGGGAAACAGATATTGATTGAATATTATGAATTGCTTCCTATTCTTAATTCTTTATTAGACAATAGTATACACTTTTATAGGGCCCTTTGTATAGATGCACAATTAACAGTAGAATAGCAGCACATGATAATTCATCTCAGTAGGTAACAGTGGCATCTGTGTTGCTGGAGGCAAGACTACAGTTCCCAGAATGCACCACAGCATGAATAAATTATGCAAACTACTGCTTAGTTATTTACTTTATTAACTGTGTAGTATGTGCATCATTGTAGTATTTTGAATCTAAAATGAAGAAGGTATGGTCTTTTTTTTTTAGGTTTTTATATTATAAAAATGATATATGTATACACATCAGTGTCATATATATACTGTATATATCCCATGCCTAGTTATTAATCAAAACAATTAATTTAAAAATAGCCAAATATGCCAACAGCTGGCTCTTACACAAATAAAAGAGGAACTACTGTGGAAACTGATGGATATTGATTTCAAAAATAGAATTAAGAAGTGCCCAATTTTTAGCCTATCTGATGAATGGTTTTATATATGATATATGTACTTGTTTATAATTAAAAACATTATATATATATATAAATATGTTGATGCATTATTCAAGAATATATATGTGACCCTGGATCACAAAACCAGTCACAAGTAGACACGGGTATATGTGTGGCAATAGCCAACAATACATGGTAGGGGTCAAAATTATCGATTTTTCTTTTATGTCAAAAATCATTAGGATATTAAGTAAAGATCATGTTCCATGAAGATATTTTGTAAATTTCCTACCGTAAATATATAAAACATTTATTTTTGTGAGTGAATGCAGCACAATCATAAACATAAATTGACAACTTTAAAGGCGATTTTCTCAGTTTCGTTTTTTTTTGCACCATCAGTTTCCAGATTTTCTAATAGTTGTATCTCGGCCAAATATTCTCGGCCTATCCTAACAAATCATACATCAATGGAAAGCTTATTCATTCAGCTTTCAGATGTATGAATCTACATTTAAAAAAACTTACCTATGTGACTTTTGTGGTCCAGGGTCACATATATACTGTATCCCATGCCTAGTTATTTATCAAAACAATTAATTTCAAAATAGCCAAATATGCCAATAGCGGGCTCTTTCACAAATAAAAGAGGAACTACTGTGGAAACTGATAGATATTGATTTCAAAAATAGAATTAAGAAGTGCCCAATTTTTAGCCTATGAAACATCCATTTAAAATGAATACTCCTACATTGCAAACTGATGTTGGTCATGATCGTCCTTCTAAAGTGCTGCTTTTGAGTTCGGTGCACATGACTATAGTCCACTAACATGATGTGGTTTCCATAGAAAACGTCTCTGGTTACTGATGTAACCTATGTTCTCTTTCATAGGTTCACTCAACGCTGCGTAGCTTAAGACGCAGTGGGAACGCCCTCCGGGTGTGCCGATTGTCTGAAGCCCTTATAGAATCACGCCAATTCATTGGCTGATGGCGCGGGCGCCGCCCTGACGCTCCTGCGTCATCATATTATATTAGCGCGCGCGCCATCTGCTCCTCGGATTTTTCTGCCGAAAAAGGAGCTTGTCGGCAGCGCAAGGAGCTTGGCAGCGAACGCAGCGTCTCGTTCCCTATTCAGAGAACATAGGTTACATCAGTAACCAGAGACGTTCTCTTTCATAGGTTCACTCAACGCTGCGTAGCTTAAGACGCAGTGGGAACGAAATACCAAACTCGCCAAGCTAAGCGCTGCCGCAACTAGTACAAGACCAGATAGCTCACACGACTGGTTCAAGCAGACAAAACCTGGAAACTGGAGTCGTGTCAAGATCCACACTGTAGAATCTGACAAAAGTGTGCGTAGAGGACCATCCTGCCGCCACACAAATGTCCTCCAGGAGGGCACCTCTAAAAAGGGCCTGAGAGGAAGCCACGCCCCTGGTGGAATGTGCTCTGATGCTAAGAGGTGAAGGTAGACCGCGCACCTCATAAGCCAGTGAAATAGCTTCTGTAACCCAGTGGGAAATTCTCTGCTTTGATGCGGCAAGCCTGCGGCGGCCAGCACCAAAACATACCAAGAGCTGGTTGGATTTTCTCCAACCACCGGAGCGATCCACATATAACTTCAATGCCCGGACCGGGCAGAGCAAGTTAAGCTTTCTGTCCTCCTCAGAGACAAAAGGAGGAGGATGGAAAGAGTGAAGGTTAACAACCTGAGACCGGAAAGCTGTGGACAAAACTTTGGGCACATATCCTGGTTTCGGTCTCAAAGTCACTCTGACCAAGCCAGGAGCGAAATCAATACATGACTCGCTAACAGAAAGAGCTTGCAAATCCCCCACCCGCTTCAAAGAGGCCAAGGCTAACAAAAGAGTAACCTTGAGAGTCAAAATCCGCTCTGGAGCTGACTCTTAAGGGCTCAAAGGGGGCCTCTGTTAAGCCCTCCAGGATGACCGACAGGTCCCAGGAGGGGATTCCAGGGGAGCATACTGGCTTCAGGCGCCTAACCCCACGCATAAAAGCTGAGACTAACCTCAACTTGCCCAGGGGGATCTAATCCGATTCTCTATGAGCAGCAATAGCAGCAACATACACTCTCAAAGTAGTAGCGGCCGCTCCAGAAGCAAACTTCTCCTGTAGGAATTCCAGCACTGAACCGACTGGGCAGTTGACTGGGTCTATAGCGTGTGCCGAACACCACGATTCAAAAACCCCCCACTTAGAAGAATACAACTTTCTCGTGGAGGGGGCTCTCGCATTCGCAATGGTCTCCTGTACGTCAGCGGGAAGACCAAAGTTTAAAGCTAACGGCCCCTGATGGGCCACACGCATAATTTCCAAATTTCGGGGCGAGGATGCCATATCCTGCCCTGAAGCTGGGACAGCAGATCCTCCCTGACTGGAATCTCCCAAGGGGGGAGTTCCAGGAGAGGAACCAGCTCTGAGAACCACGGCTGGGATGGCCAGAATGGGGCTATAAGTAGGAGACGAGCTCTGCTCTCCCTCACTCTGGACAGAACTGCCTGGATTAATTTTACAGGCGGGAATGCATACAGCCTCCGCATCGGCCATGGGTGGGCGAATGCATCTATCCCCAGTGGTGCTGGGGAGCTCAGGGAGAATCAAAGTGGGCATTGGGAGGACTCCTGAGATGCAAAAAGGTCCACTTCTGCCTTTCCGAACACTTTCCAGATCAGGGCTACTGTTCGGCGGTTCAACATCCATTCCCCTGACCTGAGTTTCTGCCTCGACAGAAAATCTGCTGCGAGGTTCAGGACCCCCGGAACATGGACTGCCCTCTGGGACAGGAATTTGTCCTGAGACCATAGGAGAAGGCGGCGCGCATGCCTGTCCAGGGTGCATCCGTGAACCCCCCTGTCGGTTTACATGAGACACCACCGCCATATTGTCTGTTCTGACAATGACATGATGCCCTTTGAGAAAGGGGAGAAAGTAAAGGAGGGCCAGGGAAACAGCTCTCAGCTCCAAACTGTTTATGTGCTAATCGAGAGTCTCTCCAGTCCAGACCCCACATGCTGGCCTGCCCTCGAAAACCGCACCCCATCCGGTTAGAGAGGCATCCGTCGTAATCATTTGGCGACGGAAAACTGCACCCATGCTGACCCCTTTCTGAAGGAAAAGAGGGTCCCGCCAAATTGAAAGCGCGCGGAAGCAACTGCGCGACACCTTCAACAGGCGAAAAGCCGGTCCTGTGGACCGGGCACCTGAGAGTTTCATCCGCCACAGAAACGGTCTCATGTGGAGCAACCCTAGGGGGAGCACGGGGGATGCTGCGGCCATGAGACCCAGCAGCCTGCGACAAGTGCCCACAGAAACACGATGGCCGAGCGTGAAGCGGGCCAAACATGTCAGAAGACTGGAAATCCGGGCAGGAGCCAAGCGGGCCTGCATCAGAACGGAATCCAGGCGCACCCCTAAGAAGACTGTGCATAGAGCTGGGGCAAGAACACTCTTCTCTGTGTTCAACCTCAGGCCGAGAGACTGAATGTGACGAAGGACAATGTCCCTGTGGTGAGTCACTAATTCTCTGGAGTTGGCTAAAAGGAGCCAATCGTCCAGGTAATTGAGTATATGGATGCCCTGGAGCCGCAACGGGGCCAGAGCAGCATCCATACACTTTGTAAACGTTCTCGGTGCTAGAGCGAGACCAAAGGGGAGGACCCTGTACTGGTATGCTTTCTCTCCAAAGGCGAACCTTGAGGAACCTCCTGTGTCGCCGTACGACCTGAATATGAAAATACGCATCCTTCAGGTCTACTGTCACGAACCAGTCCCCTGCCCGAATCTGAGATATGATAGCTTTTAGCCTCAACATCTTGAATTTCCCTTTGTAAAGAGAGAAATTCAGCCGGCGCAGGTCTAGTATCGGTCGCA